AAATATGGAATGCATCGGCCCACTGCTTCTGGTATCTCCCCCACAAAAGAGGTCAAAATTTTGAATAACCAAAATGCTCATAAAATGCTAGATAAGCATCTGAATATCTTAAAATTTCACGCATTGCTATATTTTTACTAACAAAAGGTCTGGTGCGAATATGGGTTATATCGGTCGACTCCTTCTGGCACCTCCCCCACAAAAGGGCTAATTTTTTTTGACTGATTATAACTTTCATAAAATGCGAAATAAGCCTCCGATTCTTTTCAAATTGCACACATCCCAATATTTTTATTAACATGAGATATGCTGTGAAGATGGTTTATGTCGGTCTACAACTTCTGTTACCTCCCCCACAAAAGGGTAGAAATCTTGAATGACAAATTGCTCATAAAATTCGATATAACCATCGGATTCTCTTCAAATTTCATTCATCATAATATTTTTACCAACACAAGAGCTGGGATGAATATAGCCTGTGTCGGTCCACACCTTCTGGTACCAGACCCACAACGGGTCAAATTTTTGAATAATAATATACCCCTCCCCCACAAAAGGTTCCAACTTTGATTAAAAATTATTCGCGCAATTTTGAAAATAAATGTTTATTTTTTTTTTGAATTTTGAACATCTTAATATTTTTATCGGTATTAGTTTGTCGGAGCCACTGATACTTTTTAATTTCTTTATATATATATTTTTTAATTTTTTTATTTTTGTTAATTTATATCCTCCTCAAAATAAGAGACCATCAAACAAAATCCTCTCATTTTGAAATTTTATAATTTCGATTTTTGTCACTCGCTCATAGAAGCATTCCCTATGTCCTTTGGCCCTTATTATCACATCCTTTTTTGTAATATCACATTTAAATGGAAATTATTGTCAGCAGCGTCCCTTTGAAGAGTTTTCCGACAATTCTTCTTCGTCTTATTAACAATTCTCCGAATTTATTTCGTCAAGCAAAAACCAATTAAAAATTTCCCTCTTACATATGTATCAATTAAATGAATACAATCGAATTTTCCGGTCTCCTATCAATCCGACTCCCTTCTCCCACCCCCTTCGTGGCGTACGGCTTCCTGGCAAAATCTTCTGCTGCTCTGCCATATGTTGTCGTAAAGGAAATTCTTTTGTTTCAAATCAAATAAAACGGTGAAGGAAGAAGCCCTGCACAAAAAAAAACGTAAAAGACGCCGGGGAATCTCTTTGCGAACGAAGAGAAGAGGAATTCATTCTTTCCTGGCAAAGACAGAAGTGGGGATATCCAATGAAGCGAATGTCAAAGAAACGACAATAACCAGAAATACAACGCAACATTGCCATTGTCTGTGGCAGTTGATTTGAAATTGAATTCATTGAAGCGGAAATTTGGCACGATGGAGAAAAAGGGAAAAAAGGAAGAAAAATCCAAGAAAATTTAGGGAAAAATCAACAAAAAAAATTGTGGTGAAAAAAATTCGTTTAAATTCAATAAAGAAAAAAATGTATTTGCAAGAGAAAATCGTCTGGGCAGACATAGAACAGCAAATAAGCCAGCTAATCTTTAATTACAGGCAAAAAAAAAAACCCCAGGACCAGGTGTTTGTTATCCTTAAGGCAGGATAATAAAGGAAAAAAAAAGTGACAACTTGGTGCCTTAGGCATTTGAGGTGTTGCTGTTCTTTTTTCTCTCTGTTTTTCCTTGGAAAATCTGTTGATTTCAAATAGCCTTCCCCCACCAAGAAGTGAGAAAAACGACATTGTCGGCTACCAGACAAGGTGTTAAAAAACTAAGTCCTTTTTTATTACTTTCTCCCCCCCCCCCTCCTCTACTATCTCTCCGGCCACTTTGTTATGTTATTGGGGCGTTGTGAACAAGGATTATTGTTTGTCGCCCCAAAAACCCAACCTTCTGTTTTACATTATTCTTATCGCTAAATCATGTTTCCTTCGAAAAAAAAAAAACAGGACGACTCCAAGGATGCTCCCACATTGTCTCATATTTTTCGTTTTTTTTTTTTTTTTTTTTGGTGTTGACCATACTGTAACATATGTCTGCAGTTTGCCCCCGAAGTTTTTATCTCTGCCATCAACAGTTTTTTGAAATTTCGGGAATAACTCACCATGTACCACTGCCAAGTATGACACATAATTTGACAGGATAATAATTTATGGGTTCATATTCCAAGTGGGAGTAGAAAAAAAGAGAAATGTATGTGTGTGTGCGTAAGCGTGAGAGAAAGGGAAAGGCATCCCTACTGAGCCGAACTCAAGCACACATGGGTCCATATGTTGTGAGGAGCCAGGAAAACAAGGCGTTACACATAGCCCTCATGGCTGGGTGGCTTGACTGGCTGGTCTGAGTGGCGACAAAATCCTTTTCTCCTCATTTTCAAAATAATTTCATGTAACATTGAGTGAGTGTATGCTCATTCTGATGATGTACGACTTGTTTCGATTTTCAAATTCCATTTCATTTTAAGTGGGTGTTTTCGACGTCTAACAAATTCCAAATTTCAATGGAAAAACTCCCCTCATTAGTTCTAATATCCCAAAAAACAACAACGAAAAAGTGGGCATAGAAATTGAACATTTAATTAATATTCGTGTCTTCTTCGTTCGTTCGTCGTCATCATCGTCATCCGAACATATGACATTTGTATTTCGTTTAATTAAAAGCAAGCTACATATTTTACAATGACGAAAACATGATGTGTGTGTGCGTGAAATGTATTTTTGTCGATTAATGAATTAATTATTTTGATACGAAGCGAGTAATCGAGGGAGTATGGGAGGAAGGGAGAGAGAGAGGACAAGAATGAAGTCCAAATCATAACCCACTCACAAATTGTTTCACAAGACATGACATGTATTTTGAAAATATAAATTTAATAGAGAAAGATGCAAGGGGGTGGTATGGAGGGCAAGGGGGATACTAAATTGGAATTATTGGATTTTTTCAAAATTAATTTTTAAGCTCTTCTATAAGCGTGGAATTTTGAAAAAAGTATTTTTCAATTTTAAAATTTAAAAACAAAGTATTTTTGAAGCTCTACAGGAAGCATGGATTTTTTTTAAATATTTTTAAAGGCATTGTAGACCGTGGATTTTTTAAAAAAATATATTTGAAGGCCTACTTTAAGCGTGGATTTTTTAAAAAATATTTTTGAAGGCCTACCACAAGCGTAGATTTTTTAAAAAATATTTTTGAGGGAATGTCATAAGCGTGGATTTTTTAAAAAAAAAATTTCGAGCTCCATCATAAGCGTGGATTTAAAAAAAATATATTTTTCGAGCTCCATCATAAGCGTGGATTTTTAAAAATATATATTTTTCGAGCTCCATCATAACCGTGGATTTAAAAAAAAAAAAAATTTTCGAGCTCCATCATAAGCGTGCATTTTTAAAAAAAAAATATTTTTCGAGCGCCATCATAAGCGTGGATTTTTAAAAAAATATATTTTTCGAGCTCCACCATAAGCGTCGATTTTTTAAAAAAAAGTTTTCGAGCTCCATCATAAGCGTGGAATTTAAAAAAAAATAGTTTTCGAGCTCCATCATAAGCGTGGATTTTTTAAAAAAATATTTTTCGAGATCCATCATAAGCGTGGATTTTTTAAAAAAATATTTTTGAAGGCCTACCATAAGCGTGGATTTTTTAAAATAATATTTTTGAAGGCCTAGCATAGGCGTGGATCTTTTAAAATAATATTTTTGAAGGCCTAGCATAGGCGTGGATCTTTTAAAATAATATTTTTGAAGGCCTAGCATAGGCGTGGATCTTTTAAAAAAATATTTTGAAGGCCTTTTTTAAAAGTTGATTTTTTTTTTCAATAATATTTTTGGAGGCCTATCATAGGCGTGGATTTATTAAAAAAATATTTTTCAAGGCCTATCATAGGCGTGGATTTATTAAAAAAATATTTTTCAAGGCCTATCATAGGCGTGGATTTATTAAAAAAAATATTTTTCTTCTTTCTTTCTTTTTCAAGGCCTAGCATAGGCGGGGATTTTAAAAAAATATTTTTGAAGGCCTGGCATAGGCGGGGATTTTTAAAAAACATTTTGAAGGCCTTTTTTAAAAAAATATTTTTGGAGGCCTATCATAAGCGTGGATTTTTTAAAAATTGTTTTTGAAGACCTATAAGCGTGGATTTTTTAAAAAATATTTTTGAAGGCCCAAAATATGCTTGGTTTTTTTTAAATATTTCTAAAAGCCTATAATAAGCGTGGATTTTTTAAAATATTTCTAAAAGCCTATAATAAGCGTGGATTTTTTTTTAAATATTTCTAATAAACGTGGATTTTTCTAAAAAATTTTTTGAAGGATTGGATTTTTAAAAAAAAATATTTCTGAAGGCCTGTCATAGGCGTGGATTTTTTTTAAAAAATTATTTTTGAATCGTGATTTTTTAAAAAAAATATTTTTGAAGGACTATCATAGGCGTGGATTTTTTTAAAAATTATTTTTTAATCGTGATTTTTAAAAAAAAAATATTTCTAAAGGAGTATCATAGGAGTGGATTTTTTTAAAATTTATTTTTGAATCGTGATTTTTTTAAAAAAATATTTTTGGAGGAAATTTATAACCTGGAATTTAAAAAAAAATATTTTTTTGAAGGTTAGCCAAGCGAAGCAACTCTTTAGCTCTTTTAGGCCTATTTTCTTTCCATTGCGGTGTAAGTTGTTGCACTTTTTGGAATTTCAATGGCTTTACTCCGAGCTCATTTTTCAATATTTGCCGAATGGAATATTGCGATATGTTCAGCTCACGATCCATTTTTCGGCCACTGCGACGCGGGTTTCAATCAAGTCGCTTCTTTACTTCATAGTAGACCAACTATGGGCCTTCTACATATAGAAGAAATTATATTTGTTTGTTTATGTATATAATATTATATGTGTGTCTGCAAAACATTGAATACTCTCCTGGGGGGCATCTATACATAGAAGACCTAGTCATAGGTCCATACATATTTTATCAGATTTTTTAAAATTTTTTTCCTTTTTCTTTTCAGAGCGGCAAACGAAACGACGACGTTGAAAAGCAATGTAAGTAAAAATAATAACAGTTTATGTAAAAAAGTAATAACTATTATTTCTCAAAATCTCCATACCGCCCTTGTAACGACAAGTGCGTGCCAACTACATACCCCCTTTATTCCCATGATAGTACCGAACACACACATACATACACACAGAGGCCTGCACTCTTTGACTTATTTATCAACACTTAATCATAGGGAAATCATACATAATTTCCCCCAACTGTTCTGCCACAACTTCGTTCTTTCTCTGCCACACACACACACAGCCATACACCCTTTCCTCTCAACCTCCTTTTTAATTCATTCACATATTTCTAAATTGAAAGTTTGTTCTAATTTAATTATACGGATTCAATCATAATTTCAATGGTTGTTGTTGTTGTTGCTACTGCTGCTGATGGTTCAAACACTCATTTAATACTTCTTCCTCTCCTTCTTCTACTTCTTCGATATCATCGGCATTTTGTATGCATATCATCATCATCATCGGTAGGTCTTCTTGCCATGGCTTGGGGGGGCTCAGTGTTCTTCGCTTCGGCTTCATATCGATGATAGTTCAGTGGTTTGAAGTTTTTCTAGAATTCGACCTAGTTTTTTTAGTTCAGTTTTGAATTTGAATTTTATATTCAACTTAATTCATATACATACTCACACACACACACCAACACACATGCATATCAACAATTATAATTGTACAAATTACACAAAGTACAATAACTACAACAATAGTACAATTTGTTTTTCCATTGTAAAGATGAAGAAGAAGAAATAATTACAACAATGACTTGACTTGGCCTAGAGTCCAAACACATGGACAAGCCTATATACATACGCATTTTCTCATAAACAAGAAAACAACAGAATTTTCTTACCCTCGAACTGCGTAACCACTGCCATTTCTTCCATGATGGACGGCCTGAATGATCAAAGGGTAAAAGATTTGAATGAGTTTTTAAATAACTGAAACAAGAGGATACTTCTCCTGCCGAACACCGCTTCATCATCCATCATCAACTCGTAGCGGCCACTAGGTCGGCACCATCACCACCGCCACCACGCCAATCGTTGCCACCATCATTTGCGTAGCATTATCTGCTCCACAACAATAAGAACAACAACAAGGCACTGTTGTCATCAGCCAGTCAGTTAGTCGGCTAGACACATTGCCAGCCAGCCAGCCAGCCACCCAGTCGGCCAGCTAGGCCGCAAACGATTGCCTCAATGGCCCAATCTGCAGTGATATCAGCAAATCTTTGCAGTTAAGAACATCTTTACACTGGTGTTGATAACTTTACATGGATATCGGAAACTAATTGCTTGTAAGGGGTGTTGAAATACATTTCAAAGGAAGTATAAATTGTACGGAAACTGCAGGGGGGAAAGAGTGGACATTTTTATGGAAAATCAATTGAGTGTTTTTTTTTTCTGCAGACAACCATTTCAGTGGTCCAGAATCCAAAGTAAAGTAGATAGACCCAAAGGTCCTCTGATGTGTAGTAGATGGTTCTTTTATGTAAATCTGATATAGAGCAGATGGACCCCGATTCCATGTGCTGTGGAGTAGATAAGCCCCAAAAATAAACCATGCAGACTTTATGGAACTATAGGCCATCGACTGAAAAGTAGACTAGAGTATCGTGGAGTAGATGGTCCAGGAGGTCATTTACTGCAAAGTATATTGGCCTAGAGGACCCAGATGGCCCAGAGGCCATCTACTGTAGAGTAGGTAGACTCAATGTCTTTCTATTGTAGATTAGATGGACTCAAAGGTAATCTACTGCAGAGTAGATGTAATCAAAATCCATCTACTGTAGTGTGGATGAACTCAAAGGCCAGAGTAGATGGTCTCAAAGGCCAGAGTAGATGGTCTCAAAGGCCATCTACTGCAGAGTAAATGCACTCAACGGCCATCTACTGTTGAGTAGGTGGACCTAAAGACCATCTACTGTAAAGTAGATAAACTCAAAGGCCATCTACTGTGGAGTAGGTGGACTCAAAGGCAATCTACTGTAGAGTAGATGTAATAAAAAGCCATCTACTGTAGTGTAGACAAACTCAAAGTCCATCTACTGTAGTGTAGACAAACTCAAAGGCCACATACTGTAGCGCAGATGAACTCAAAGGTCATCTACTGCAAATAGGCCATCTACTGAACTCAAAACCCAGTGGGTTTCATAGGCTTTCCATAGAAAAAAAATCGTATGACTTCGACTGTATCGTAGATGAACTTAAACGTATTCGCAAGACCCTCCTGGGTCTCATAGTTTTTTCTATAGAAAAAAATTGTTAATACCCTCCTAGGTCCCATAGTTTTTTCTATAGAAAAAAATTTCCAAGACCCTCCTGGGTCTCATAGTTTTTTCTAGTTTTTTTCTACAGAAAAAAATTTACAGGATCCTCCTGGGTCTCATAGTTTTTTCTATAGGAAAAAATATCTAAGGCCCTTATGGGTCTCATAGTTTTTTTTATAGAAAAAAATTTCCAACACCCTCCTGGGTCTCATATTTTTTTCTATAAAAAAAAATTTCCAAGACCCTCCTAGGTCAAATTTTTTTTCTATAGAAAAAAAATTTCCAAGATCCTCCTGGGTATAATATTTTTTTTTCTATAGAAAAAAATTCGCCAGACCCTCCCTGGGTCTTATTGCTTTTTCTATAGAAAAAAATTCGCAAGACCCTCCCTGGGTCTTATTGTTTTTTCTATAGAAAAAAATTCGCCAGACCCTCCCGGGGTCTTATTGTTTTTTCTATAGAAAAAAATTCGCCAGACCCTCCCGGGGTCTTATTGTTTTTTCTATAGAAAAAAAATTCGCCAGACCCTCCCGGGGTCTTATTAATCTAATAACTTAAAAGCTGTCTACTAGTTAGTTCTTTTTATAGAAAAAATTCGCAAGGCCCTCACTGGGTCTCATAGTTTTTTTTTAAACAAAAAATTTGTAAGACCCTCTCTGGGTCTCATAGTTTTTTCTATAGAAAAAAATCGCAGGACCCCCTGGGTCTCATAGTTTTTTCTATAGAAAAAATCGCAGGACCCCGTGGGTCTCATAGTTTTTTCTGTAGAAAAAAATCGCAGGACTCCCCTGGGTCTCATAGTTTTTTCTATAGAAAAAAATCGCAGGACTCCCCTGGGTGTCATAGTTTTTTCTTAGGAATTTTTTCAATAGAAAAAAATTCACAAGGCCCTCACAGGGTCTCATAGTTTTTTCTATAGAAAAAAATCGCAGGACCCCCCTGGGTCTCATAGTTTTTTCTATAGAAAAAAATCGCAGGACTCCCATGGGTCTCATAGTTTTTTCTAAAGAAAAAAATCGCAGGACTCCCCTGGGTCTCATAGTCTTTTCTTAGGAATTTAGGGATACATTTGTGGTTTTTTTTTTAATCGTGACATTCTTGAGTCTCATATATTTTTTTTTTCTACAGAAAAAGGCTCGCGGTCCCACTTTACATTTCGACCCACCCTATTGTCATCCCAAGATAGAAGTATGTCATATGTTTAAGTGTGTTTGCTACGCATATTTTGTTTTTTTTTTTACTTCTTGTTTTTCGTACATTGAGTTGTCTTTTGCACGCATTACAGCGAATCTGAAGATACACTTGAACACATGTTACCCCCCAAAATCAATGGAGGCTGATGAAGAGAATGCCAAAGGAGGAGGCTAAAAGCAAAAAAGAAAAAGAATGCAAAACCAAATAATAAATTATGGAACAATCTATGTTGTCCAAAGTGGGTGGGGCGGGGCGAAAGGTTCGGGGACATGCTACTAAGTGAACGATTGATGGGCCAAAAAGTGACAAGTGTTGCTCCCACAACAGCCACAGAAAAAACAAAGAAAGAAGGAGTAAAGTGGTCTGTCTGAGTGTGTCTAGTTGAGGTGAAGGAGGTTGGGTCGTAAAAGGATTTTTTCCTGTTTTCAAATCTCAAATGATTGCTTGTTCTTTGGAAAAAAGAAGCTTAGCCAAGTAGCTTGCCTACCAATACCAAGAAGGTCATTTTCATGAAATTGAATTAGGATTATTTTTCATGAAAATCTGTGCCGTTAATCCTTTGGGGGGCAGAAATGTCTCAACCTAAAAGGCACTTGGGTAAATTCGATTAGTTGGCCAGGACCTTTCAATCCTTTGGATAATGTATGACCAACCGAAAGTTTTAAGGGATTTATTTCTCTTGGAGTTTGAAAGGAAAATTTAAAACAGGTTTAAAGAATTGGGGTAAATTTTAAGTTTTGGGAAAATACTTATTGAGAATCTGTGGTATTCAGGAACACCCTCCAAGTGAAGTGTATACAAAGTGAGACCAAAAATGTGAAGAGAGTGAAAATTCCATTGAACTTTGGTCTCATTTTCACTATTTTCTTTAGAAAATCATAAATTTCCTACAGCCAAATGTCAAAATTATTCAATATTTTTTCTTTAGAAAAAAATTCTGGGACCAATGGGTCCTACTTTTTTTTAGAAAAAATTCTGGGACGCTTGGGTTCTACTTTTTTTAGAAAAAAATTCTGGACCCTTGGGTTCTATTTTTTTAAGAATAAAAATCCTATCCGCTATTTATTCTTTAGATTTTTTTCTTTAGAAAAAAATTTGGAGACCCTTGGGTCCTATTTTTTTCTTTAGAAAAAAATTCGAAGACCCTTGGGTTCTATTTTTTTCTTTAGAAAAAAATTCGAAGACCCTTGGGTCCTATTTTTTTCTTTAGAAAAAATTCGAAGACCCTTGGGTCCTATTTTTTTCTTTAGAAAAAATTCGAAGACCCTTGGGTCCTATTCTTTTCTTTAGAAAAAAATTCGAAGACCCTTGGGTCCCTTTTTTTTTCTTTAGAAAAAAATTCGAAGACACTTGGGTCCCTTTTTTTCTTTAGAAAAAAATTCGAAGACCGTTGGGTCCTTTTTTTTTTTCTTTAGAAAAAAATTCCAAGACCCTTGGGTCCCTTTTTTTTCTTTAGAAAAAAATTCGAAGACCCTTGGGTCCCTTTTTTTTCTTTAGAAAAAAATTCGAAGACCCTTGG